CCTTATGAACTGTGGTTTGGCAAGAAACCAAAGTTGTCATTTCTTAAAGTTTGGGGCTGCGATGCTTATGTGAAAAAGCTTCAACCTGATAAGCTCGAACCCAAATCGGAGAAGTGCGTCTTCATAGGATACCCAAAAGAAATTGTTGGGTACACCTTCTATCACAGATCCAAAGGCAAAATCTTTGTTGCTAAGAATGGATCCTTTCTAGAGAAGGAGTTTCTCTTGAAAGAAGTGAGTGGGAGGAAAGTAGAACTTGATGAGATAACTGTACCTTCTCCCTTATTGTAAAGTAGTTCATCACAGAAATCAGTTCCAGTGATTCCTACACCAATTAGTGAGTAAGCTAATGATGATGATCATGAAACTTCAGATAGAGTTACTACCGAACCTCGCAGGTCAACCAGAGTACGATCCCACCAGAGTGGTATGGTAATCCTATTCTAGAAGTCATGTTACTAGTCGTGATGAACCTATGAACTATGAGGAAGCGATGATGAGCCCAGATTCCATGAAATGGCTTGAGGCCATGAAATCTGAGATGGGACCCATGTATGAGAACAAAGTGTGGACTTTGATGGATTTGCCTGATGATCGACAGGCCATAGAAAATAAAACGGGGAGAAGGGGTCTTACACATAGGACAAAACGGATCTACTCAAACATAATAGGATAGCCAAATATCATTGGGAAATAATATATGGAGTTGAGCACCATGTTTAAGTAGAGATTACAACGGGGAGAAGGGGTCTTACACCGCTGCATAGACGGGGAGAAAGTTGGTGTTGACGGTAGCAAGGTTGTTGATGTAGATCACCGTCACGATCCTAGCCCCAGTGGCACTCTGGCGCCACCCGGAGAGAGGGGGAGAGAGCCCCCCTTATTCTTCTTCTTCCTTGGCCTCCCCTAGATGGGAGGAGAGTTCCCCCTTTGGTCCATGGCCTCCGTGGCGGCGGAGGGGCGGGAGCCGCTCTAAAATTGGATATTCCTCTCTGTTCTCTTTTGTTTCGCGTTCCCCAGATCTAGCCCTTCAGGGTTTCTTAAATTCCTGGAGATCCGTAACTCCGATTGCGCTGAAATTTTTACACGACTTTTTTTCCATAAATTATCTTTCTTGCACCCGAAGAAGGGCCCCAGCCGACTTACGGGGAGGGCACAAGACACATGGGCGTGGCAGGGGGTGCCCGGTGCACCCTGGTGGGTTGTGAAGGCCCACGCTGATTCCACCTCCCAAAAAAATTTAAATATTCCAAAATAATTCTCCATAAATTTTTATTGCATTTGGACTTCGTTTTATATGGATATTCTACGAAACAAAAAATGCAACAAACAAGGACTCGCACTGGGCACTGGATCAATAAGTTAGTCCAATAAATGATATAAAATGTTGCCAAAAATAAGTGAAAGTTGTATAATATTGGCATGAAACAATCAAAAATTATACATACGACGGAGACGTATCAGCATCCCCAAGCTTAATTCCTGCTCGTCCTTGAGTAGGTAAATAATAAAAAAAGATAATTTTTTATGTGGAATGCTACCTAGCATAAACTTGATCATATATCTAATCATGGCATGAATATTAAGACATAAGTGATTCAAAGCAATAGTCTATAATTTGACATAAAGACATCAATACTCAGGCATCCCAACAAACAATCATGTCTTTCAAAATATCAACGCTAAAGAAAGCTATCCCTACAAAATTATATAATCTTGTCATGCTCTGTCTTCTTAACACAAAGTATTTATCATGCATAACCCTGATGACAAGCCGAACAATTGGTTCATACTTTTTAACGCGCTTCAGCTTTTTCAACTCCCATGCAATACATGAGTGCAAGCCATGGATATAGCACTATGGGTAGAATAGAGTATGATGATAGGGGTAAATATTGAGAAGACAAAGAGGTAAGAAAGTCTCACATCAACGCGGCTAATCAATGAGCTATGGAGATGCCCATCAATTGATATTAATGCGAGGAGTAGGGATTGTCATGCAACAGATGCACTAAGAGCTATAAGTGTATGAAAGCTCAACATGAAAACTAAGTGGGTGTGCATCCAACTTGCTTGCTCATGAAGACCTCGGGCATTTCAGGAAGCTCATCATAGGAATATACAAACCAAGTTCTGTAATAAAAAATTCCCACTAGTATATGAAAGTGACTACATATGAGACTCTCTATATGAAAAACATGGTGCTACTTTGAAGCACAAGTGTCGAACTAGCATGCCCCTTCTCTCTTTTTCTTTCATTTTTTCTTTTTCTTTTTCTTTTTTTTCTTTTTACCCCTTTTTTCTTTTTTTTCCCTTTGTCCGGAGTCTCATCCCGACTTGTGGGGGAATCATAGTCTCCATCATCCCTTCCTCACTGGGACAATGCTCTAATAATGAAAATTGATGATCATCACACTTCTATTTGCCCCTAAATCTCATGAAGGTTTTCTACTCGGTTACGGCTCAAACTCTCACACTTACCGTGTCTACAACAATTTCACCCGAAAGGTTGAAGAGACGGTAGATGTGAAGTTTGATGAATCTAACGGCTCGCAAGTCGAGCAATTGCCAATTGATGTAGGAGATAAAGATCCCTCTGAAGCAATTCAAGACTTGTCTATTGGCAAGATTCGCCCAACGGAGGTGAAGGAGAGTACCTCGTCTGTTCAGGAAGCCTCAACTTCACGCCAAGGTGAACCACAAGCTGACTTGGAGGCTTCCACAAGTGAAACACATCAAGATGATGGAAACAAGGATGTACAACAAGATGAACCTCATCAACCTCCTTCTCCGCCTCCACAAGAGAACAACAACGCCAACGACAATGAAGAAAAACAAGAGGAAGAACAAGACAATGAAGAGGATGTTTCACCCCGACCCAAACAAAAGCTCTCACGAGTTCGAGTGGAGGACACCAGCAAATGAATCTTGTGCATGTACAGGTCAGGAGCTCTCTATCTATGTGAGATGGCTGCTCTCTTTTTTTTGTAGATTCTATGTAAAAAATGCTTTAGCTGGCTAGCTGTGCTAAATCTTTTGGACTAAGTATTTTTTTGTTCATTTCTAAACTCTAGTGGATGATTAGATTAGACATGAGCCCAAACACATTAAATTCTTCACTTTGGTCGGCCTGATGTATGCATATTGTGAATGAACCAGCAAACTTACCTTACCTAATTGTGGTCATGCACTCCAAACGGGAAGCAAAACGATTTACAGATTTTGTGTGTTTTGGCTGTTCTCGTCCTATTTCTCAGTTATGCCATCGATATGCTACTGAAAATTCTGGGCACTGGTACTCCCTCCTCTCACTTGTGATTCAAGAAAAAAAATAAAGTGTAGGGGATTTGTGGTAAATAAATTGGCCATTTTCTAGTAAAATATTGTATTTTAGGAGCAAATTAATACTGACTGACACACGGTGTAAGCGTGATGACATGGCGCCACGCACGATCGTCTATGACAACGAGGCAAACAAAATCCAGCCAGCATTGCCGCTGCATATAAAAAATGCCAAGGCCCAATGAAGCCCACAAGCTGATCTAGACACTGCCAGGGTTTCAGGCAAAGAGCTAGGCACGCTCGGGATCTGCCTAAAAGTAGCCAAGATTTAGGTAAAAAATGGCAAAACTTGTCAAATCTCAGAATTCATCCATTTAGATCAGAATCCATGATTTTAGGTTGGATCTAGGCTGTTTTTAGGCAGGCCAGACGCCTAGTACACGCGTCTACCTAGTTTTCAGGCTACTAGGCTTGGGTTGTTGATGGTTTGCTTGGGCCCCTTCCCTTCCTTTTGCTCCAGCCTCTGGCTATTTCGGCGTATGTGCACAGGTTTCGATAGGAGAAAGAGTGTCTTTGATGATACTACAATAGCAGTTTTTTATTTAATTATTGTGAGGAGGATCATGTTTGCGGCTTATTTGTGCGAAGCTGAGTGTTTTTTCTTGAGCTCCCAAAATCATTTGAAGAGCTACACAAATTTTAGGGATGGATTAGAGTAGTCTAACCTGCCAAAACAACAGTTTTTAGATGAGTTTAATTTTGCTTTTATAGATCTTTGTTGTGCTCCTTACTAAAAAAACGTTTTTATCTTGGAGCGGAACTTTCAACTAATTTCGAAAGAACTTTAGATAAGGACATGTTCCAAATGAAATCATGGACTTTCAGTTTGAGCAACTAGAAGTTGTAGATAGTCCTTAGATATATATAATAATAAAGATTAGTTGGAATTTTGAGTAACACTGACTAACATGAGACAATTCCTCTACGTGCGGGCCTCATTCGATGGCAACACACAAGTACACCTTGATCAAGGTTGTCGAGGCAGGAGAGGAGGAGCAACATGAAAGGGGCCAGTGAAGGTTTGTAATGGTCCGATGGAAGCCATTGGTCTTTATTGGCTGCAGCGGGTAGCCCAGTGGTGTGAAAAAGGTGGCACATTTTCTGTAATGGATTTGCTAATTCTTATCAAAGTCACATCTAACACCTATAAGATTTGATTAATTAAAAAGAAGCAAAAATGCACACAAAGCTCCATATAAAATCGAATGATGTACCCCCTCTATAGAAATATAAGAGCGTTTAGATAGCGTTCTTGTATTTCTTTACGGAGTGAGTAGAAGTTAGATGAGACTTAGTTGATTCTCATCTAGATTAGAGCTAGCCACACCTTTTTGTGTTAAGCACTGCACCAAAAGCATCAAAACGAAATAAAACAAATGCCTCTAATTAGCAAGCATCTTATGGACAAGCATCCATCGAATCTTCCCATTTTTATTTTCCCACATGACTCTACGCAACACAAGAACACAATAAGAGACTTGGGAAGCACAACGAGTGGACAACGTACAACACACTAATGACCCCGGATGTGGATCCTCTGACTTTGCAATCCCTGCCATACCCTGCCTTTGAGTCACTGACAGGTGGGCCCCATGCTTTGTGGGACCCGTGTGTCAGTGACTCAAAGGTAGGCTTGGCCACGGCAGGGGATCCTCGTCCTAATGACCCCTTGCGTAGAGGTGGCCCGGGAGCTTGGGTTTCATCACTACCTGTAGCGGGAACTTGCGCGGGGTCGACAGGCCGAAGATCTCCTCCATGCTGAGCTGATCCGTCGCCACGCCATCGGGGAGCTCGCACACAAAGCCGTGCAGCAGGTTGGCGAGGCTCACATGGATCACCTTCAGTCCCAGACTATATCCGGGGCACATCCGCCGTCCGGACCCAAATGGCAGCAGCTCGAAGTCATGCCCCTTGATGTCGATCTTGCTGCCAACGAACCGTTCTGGTACGAACTCCTCCGGCGAATCCCACACTGCCGGGTCGCGGCCGATGGACCACACGTTGATGAGTACACGCGTACCAACGGGGATGTTGTAGCCACCTACGGAGGCGTCCTCACGGGACAGACGGGGTGCCAACATGGGTGCCACCGGGTGCAGCCGCATGGTCTCTTTGACAATGGCTTCCACATAGGGAAGGTTGGGGATGTCGTCCTCCGTCACCCATCGTTCTCGTCCCACCACGCGGTCCAGCTCCTCTGTGGCCTTGGAGAACACCTCGGGTTTCTTGAGCATCTCCGACATGGCCCACTCCACCGTGATCGCTGTGGTTTCCGTGCCGCCGGCGATGAGGTCCTGCATGTGATCAAAGTAGTTTAGTGCAATTAATGGTTCAGAATTAGCATCAGCATAGCCTGATAAGTTCCTTTAATATGCATTTTTGTGGAGCATCTCTCTCTAACTGAAAAGTTTCTTTTATTGTAACAAACAGTAAAGGTCAACGGGTAACCCGGATCGGAGCTCCCTCGCAACTGGCCGCCAATCTGCCCTTCTAGGCAGCTCGTATACTGAATAACCGAAAGATGGACTGACCTGAATGAAAGCTTTGACGCCGTTCCGGTGGAGCTTGACCTCAAGATTTGGGTCGCCGGCTATCTCCAACAGCACGTCAACCATGTCCCGTGACACGAAGTTGTCGCCCTGGAGGCGCCGCCGCTCATTGTGGTCGTCCAAGACATGTTCTAGGAATCGATCGAACTTCTTGCTCAGCTTCTTCATCCTCCTGACGTACCCCTGAAGGTCCATCCAGTCGAGCCATGGGATGGAGTCACCGATGTTGAGCACGCCGTTGAGGAAGAACAGCTCGTCTATCATGCACTTGAACTCCTCCGGCGCCATGGTCGCCGAGCCGTCCTCGCCCGCCGCCTGCTTCTCCAGGTACTTCCTGCCCAGCACCATGCGCGAGATCACGTTCAGGCTCAAGGTGGACAGGTGGTCCTTGAGCAGCACGAGGCGCCCGGAGGCCTCGTGCAGGCCGCACAGGAGGGCACGCATCTCCTCGCGGCGGATGTAGGCGTACGACTCGAGCCGCCTCGCGCTGAAGAGCTCGGCGAGGCACACCCTGCGCGCCTGGCGCCAGTGCGCGTTGTACGGGGACCATGTGATGGTGCTGTTATCGTAGCCGGTGTACTTGCCGGCGGCGGTCCTGGGCCGGTCGGTGAACACCACGTCGTGGGTCTTGAGGAAGAGCTTGGCCATCTCGGCCGAGGAGCCGACGACGACGGGGAAGGACCCGAAACGGAGCTGCATGAGCGGGCCGTACTGCCTAGAGAGCGCGTGGATGGAGCGGTGCGGGAGCGCACCTATGAGGTTGAGGTTGCCGATGATCGGCCATGGCTTGGGGCCCGGCGGGAGGTTGCAAGTGCCTTTGCGGCGGAAGACAACCTTGAAGAAGAGAATGGTGGCAAGCACGACGGCGAGGAAGGGCGCCCATGGTGGTAGCTCCATTGAGATTTGAGAGTGGGTAGCGTCCGAGCAATTCCTGAGCTTCTGACTTCCTATTATTAAGTGGCTGGCTAAGTGACCGATCAACCGCTGACGAGCCATCGCAGATGATAATTGTATAATAAGTCAAGTAATAACTACGCTCTCTTAGTCAAAAAGAAATTAGATTCGTTAGTCTTGTGTCAGCTTCCTTCTAAAAATTAGATAAAAGTCCCAAGCACATGATGCATCAGACAAGGACGCTTCCTGCATCATCGTTTAATACGAGTCTGCCTATGCGCGAGAGCATCAATCACCATATGTCCGCTGCAGCTTCTGAATATATTCCACGACCTTCCGACTGTCTATTTCCCTCAACTTCGATGAGGAAGGAGTGATGAAGGCAATGCGCCTTCGGATCACTCTGATCCTTCTAAAAGATTAGATGATGTATCACGCATGATGCAATAGACAAGGACGTATCATGCATCATCACTGAATATATCTCTAACGGCTTGAATTTGTCTTTTCTGACACTATTCATATTTGGATTTTTCTTTTTTGTTTCTCAATGTGTATTTTGAGTTTGGATCTGAACTTTTAGGAGTTGGGGACACATATGTTGTGAACATTCATGAATGTTTTTTGAAGTTCTCAAAAATCTTAAATCTGAAATTTAAATTGATAACACGGGAGCATGTAAGAGTTGAGTGTTTTTGAACTCGAGAGCAGAAACTCCACGCCTCGTACCTTTGCCGAAGTTAGACAATATATATACAACATACGCTATTTCCTCTACATACTTGATAATTGATATAGAAGGGGTCGATATAGAAGGGTTGTGTTACGGTGCGACTGTAAATTAGCATAGAAGCATGTGTTCTTAAATAAAATAGCATCGTAGTACCTTGCTGTCACAGCACGAATTACTGTTGGTCTTAGGGTGTGAGAGGATTCATTCTTAACGTGAACTTCCACTTCTACCTCGGAGCAAATATTAGAAGTGTGATGTACTAGTTTAGTACTTCCTCTGGAAAGAAATATAAGAGCGTTTAGATCACTAGTAGTACATCATAAAGCTTGAAGATAAAATGCAGATACAGTTAAAGCACAAAATCTTACACTGGTGTTTTAGAAATCATCTTGTTAACATACGTCGCAATCTCAACTTAGATAATGCAGGCATATAGAAATAGGCTATGGCATTAATAATTCCCTCTGCCAAATTATTTAACTAGGAGATAGCTGGCAACTGAAGAAATGCCGTGATGTCATTTCATCGACATACTGTGAAGCTTGAACGAAATTTCTTGCCAACATCGGTAAGATTTGCTAAAATTCGGGTAACATCCCATTGGCATCACATATACATAGGCAAAACAAGCTTAAGTTCTCAGTCCTACATATCAGGACAAATAACTAGCTGCCCTCTTACGACAACAGAAAAAGCATGACAAGAGATTGCACATCTAAAACTAGGATCATAGATACGATTGCAGGATCGGCGAGCTAAAAGGCAGAAACAATTGCAGGTATGTACTGCAAGCATCAGCTGATCAGGTCCAATCTGCAAAACAAGAACAAGTCAAAGAAAATAAATGCCCAATAAGTCAAAAGGTGCAGAGTGAAAAAAGAAATGTTGAATGTGCTTTTGGGGGAAAGAAACACCAATGCATGGAATGCATGTAGAGTTTTCACTATCGAGTCCTTTTTATGCTTGTAAATTTCATGGAAAGGATTATTTTTGCGACGGGTGCAAAATGAGATGTTCAGTTCTATAAAATGTTACTCGTTTACACCACAAAATTTGTTGATTTAGAGCTAACAAATGCTCTTTTCTGCACAAAAATATACAGGCATATAAAAACTCAAGAGTCATTTGCATAACATTTATTCCAGGATTTCTTGACATTTAATTATTGTTTTTTCGATCAAAACATTTTATTATCATTATTTTATTACTGTTTACCGCAGGAGCATGTGAGCTCAGGTGCCATTTCGCTGCTTTCAGTAAATGGCATACTCTTGAGAAAAAGATCAGTTTAAAAAAAATCACGCCTCGGCGATCAAGGAGGCATATTTGGGCATTTCAGACGGCATTACCATCTCACTGAGTCAGTTCATTATGCGGGGAAGGGTGACATAGCCCTGAGTAAACAATTTACAGCTGCAAAACATCATCAAAGCTCGCTTCATTTCGTTCCTGGTATGGCATGTAACAAGAAAAGGCCGGGTTCAGATACATGGTCACAAGTCAATAGCAGCTACATATCTCCCTTTCTCAACAAAAAAAAAAGCTACATAACTCCCACAGCCAAATCAGTTTACTGGAATGATATTACCTGTTGGAAACTTGGTGGCATCGCTGGTTCCCCCATTTCAATTTGGTAACCCACCAGTTGCCATCATCTTCTGCATAGCACTCATTGCATTCGTCACTCTTGCCAAGTCCTCCTGCAGCTTTCTCTGACTTTCCTCCATCGCTATCACCTTCTTCCTTAGAGCGGCTGCCTCATCTTCAGCCCTTCTTTTATCCCTCGCAGCTTCCAAGGCTGCACTTTCCTGGGAGTTTTTGGGGCGACTTTCCACTGTTACTAGCACCTTCTTTCTCAGTGTGGAGACTTCATCTCCAGCCTTTCTTTTGGCCCTCACAGCCTGCGGGTCTGACCTTTCTTGCAGGTCTTTGGGGGAGCGCCCAGGTGTATTCCTGTGTGCATTTGCCCTCCTTTTTGCACCCATGGCAGTTGCATAGTCATCTCCTGGCCCTTCTGGATTCTCAAGAGATGGGTCACCGGATCGTGACTGCAAGGTGAGCAAGGCATGTCAGTTCTTGAGCTCTTACAGGAGATCAGGGCAAATACTAACATGTCAAATCTAGCAATGGACTTGCTGATATAACGCATAGTTTTCTTTTTCTTTTCATTCAAGTAACATGAATAAATCATCCAGATAGAAAACAAAGAAACAAGAGTTACCTCTTCCTGATGCATCCGTGCAAAGCTCTTGGATCCGGTTTTATTGACATAGGTTGATTTGGCTCGAGAAGCTTTAGATGCAGCACTTCTCGCCTGTGTTTAAAAGCATATATCGATCATCCAAATTATCCAAAATGTCTACTCCCTCACGTTTCAAAATAGTTGTCTTTTCAGAGTTGGGCAAAAGAATTAAGTTTTGGTGAAATGTTTATATTGCCCATCTCTTTTTTCCCGCCAAAGCAAGGTATGCAAGCACAAGAGGAGTTAATTATCTCTTTTCTGATGACATTGATTAAGGGCAAAGTAGAAACACAATGACTTAAATTGCATTGGGAGTGTAGAAGTACAAGTATTTTGAGAAAAAATGGAGGCAAAAAGGGCATCTATTTTGAAATGGAGGGAGTAGTACATTGTTACAACAAATGAAAGAGAATGCACAGCACTACCTTTGCCTTTTCGGTATTCCAATATGCAACAAGGACTTGCCATTGCTCTTTTGAGACACGAGGATCACGATCAGCAAGGCGTTCATCTTCAGTTGTATGAGAATCATAGTGTTTCCGTTTTAAATAAGATTTCCAAACCCGCCACTTGTTCCTTATCGACCTCAGGACCGACAACTCGTGAGGTGGATCAACATCAAATTTAAGCTATACCAAAGAACAAGGAGTGTGAAAAAAATTACAGGCAGGGAAAAGACCAACATTAGCAATGAATACCTTAACAATGTGCCACATAACATCCTTGTTCTCCTTTGGAATATTTTTCCAACTTATATACTTGAGAGGTGCCAATATTCCGTCTCGTGCTAGTGCGCCTAGAAAGTTAATCAACATGTTTGCATTTTCTCCAATTGGCAGGCCCGAAGTGTTCAAGGAGACTGGTACCCGTACACCCTCAGGCAAGGTCCACATTTTGACACAAAGATTACCTCCTGCTTTGTGTCCCTTTTTACCTTGTTGCTGCTCCTCGGAATCAGTTATATCGTGCAGGGATACCTTATTGGAACCCTCAGATATCAGACGGTCATGAAACACATTATATTTCTTCTTGGCAAGGGCCCTTCTGACTTCTAGAGGTAATAACCGACAATAATTCCGCGCGAAATGCTCAAGGTCAGACATATCAGTATTTGAAGGAGCTGTTGTTAAATCAAGGTCATCTAGTTCATCAGAGATTTCTTGAGGCAACTTATGCGCAGACGGTGTGCTAGGGTAAAGACCAGCGCTCATTCTATCAGTGTCTGGATAGTCAGAATCAGACATGCTTTCATCTGGAGATACAGCATCATCGTTCTCACTTTCTACAGATTCAGTGTCTGTCATGGCAACTGACACTTCACAATCTGGAAAGGCAGGACGCTGCTGAAGAGGCTCCCATTCAATTGATTCGTCATCCATAGCATCTGCTGGCACTTGGACATTAGGACCAAAATCCTGCAGCCCACCAGGGTCACTTTCTAGAGGTTCATTTTCTATAGCAGCAGCTGAATCTTTAGCCAAACGTTTACTACGCCTAAGCTGAAGCCCTGCATTTGATGAAGCTATTGAGCCTTTTCTATTCTTCTTCTGAGTCCAACCACTAGTCTGCTTGGAAACAATAACTTTAATCTGCTCCTTCTGGGTTTCATCATTAGTGCGTACATTTTTCTGTTTTAGATCAGCCAGCTTATTCGGAGGTGTAACCTGTTTCCTCTCCTTAAGAGTCGAGGTGTTGCCAGGCCTCTCATTAGCCTTACTTTGACGCTCAAAGTCGACATGAGTTCCATGAATACGGCTATCAGAGGTCTGTCCTTCTGCCTGCTGTACAATGTGGTTCAGTGGTTCTGTATGTCTCTTCTTGCCAATAGCCTTAGCATTAGCTAACTTTGATTTTTTCTGCTTGCTACTACACGATGCAGTAGTCTCCTTTATAGGAAGAGAGCACATGGCTTCTCTATTAGTTGCAGGATCGGTATGCCCACAAATTGCCTGATTTGTGGTCGATGCCTTTCTCTTCTCTGCATTAACAGAGTTGGGTTCAACAGCGCATCCAGTTGGCCGAATGCTCTCCCTCGAAACTGTTTTATTGATCATCTCAGTAGATGCCTCTTCTCCGTGTTTTTCTTGGTTGACAGGTGGATGAACCACCCCATCAAGATCCAGACAGTATAACCGACTGCCTTCTGCATGACTCTCATGAAAAGGCTGTTTGTGTGCCTGCTGTATGATCTGAGCAGGAGTCTCCGTATGCCTCTCCCCTGTACTTACAGTTTGGGGGCTAACGGAGCATCCGACTCTCTGGTTACTACGAGTTGCAGTAGCCTCATCTATCAGTTCAGTATGTCTCGCATCTCCATAAATTTCATGGCTGAGAAGTCCATCCTGCGTGTCCTCTGAATGAGTGACTCGATGCAAGTGTGCCAGCTGCGCTCGCTTTGGCTGCATAGTGTAACTAGGGTGATGATCATTTACATGATCTCTGGCCTCATTTAGAGGCAAAGCTTGTCTCTCCTCATTGCCTACAATACGACAGCCAAGGGGCGGTCGATTTCTCTGAAGGCTATTATTTGCAACAGTCTCATTTGCCATATGTATTTGTTCTCCATCAATGATATGATCAGTATACCCCTGTTGTTCATCAGGTTCTGTTCGTGGTAGCCCTGCACGCATTGCATAACTAGGACGCTCTTGCCATTTCTGCATCACAGGAAAAGAAAGGTGTGCACTATTTAGGGAAAAATAGGTCGATGGGTCATCCAGATCTCCGACCAACTGAGCTAGACACAGTACAGAGTATATGAAATCATGAAATGAGGAGGAGAAGGCGCTTTGTTCTACACCAATATAAACCAGTGTGAGATGAAGATGGTAATAGATTTCAATCGAATTGCAATTTTTTCGACTGTGCAATACCAAAATCCACAACCCAACATAATCGACAAGTATATATATACCTCCCGAGCGGCAACAATCGGTGGGACAGACGCGGCGGCGAGCGGCACGACGGCCGCCTCGGCGGAGGAGAGGATGTAGTTCCGCAGGCGCGTGGAGTCAATGGCCAGCTCGGCGCCGCAGAGCGGGCATGCGCAGCGCGATAGCCCGACCGGCACGCTGAGGAGCTCGCCGCAGGCGCCGCACGGAAGCCTGGCCCCGCGCGCACCCGCGGCGCCTCGCGGCAGGGGCAGCGCCCTCCGCCGGGGCCGCGGCATGAGCTCCGGAGGGAGCGACTGCGCCGTGGCGCAGTCGGGGCAGACGAACTCCGTCAGCCCCCGTTCCACCTCCAACGTCTCCTCGCACCCCGCGCAGCGCACCTCCAGGAACTCCTCGGCCGCCGCCACCGTGGCTAGCGGCGGTGGCGCCATTGCCTTCGAGCTAGGGCGTGATTTCTATTTCGACGGCGGGGGGAGGAACGCCGATGGCTGGCACTGTCACAATTTCACACACTTGTTTAGGCATTGGCTAAAATATTGGCTACTAAAACCTCCTGCAAAGTTTCCAATAAATCTTTTTCTAAAACACGAGCTCGTACGTACACACATACCCTAATCTCTATAAACGCAAACATGCACACACTATTTCTATGAGCATCTCAATCGGCACATCATTTTAAGATTGACAAGGTCACTACAGACATCTTCATAGTCAACATGAATATCTCGTCCACACGAAGGCTGAAATATATTTAGAAAAATACGAGCATCAGGTAGGAAAAACAGAGTTTTTTTTTTTGCTTTTCTGGCAGAAAAACGGAAACAAAGAGACAAAACGAAAAACAAAAGTGAAAATTTTAAAAACAAAAATGTTATGCAGACAGAAACAAAAGCAGAACTTCGTTTTCCAGCGAAACAGACATGAAAATGAAAGTTTCCGTTTTCATGAATATGGAATTTTTTGTTTCTATTGGCTTATGCAACCTTTGTAGCCTAACCATCAAATATCACACAATTATACAATGAGCAAAATGGCTCATGTGTGGCAACTTCTAGTACCATACAAAGAAGTTAGACCTGATTGTAACCACAATGAAGGTCGAGCCTGAAATTCCCTTTCATGGATTATTTTGTGATGTTACAATGTGTTTTACTTGTAAGAGGGTGACTTGATGCACTGTGTTTTGCTTATATATGGATTTTGTCCTTCTAATTACCAAAAATGTGTTTGGGTTGTCAAGGTTGAAAAAAATATACACAGATGCATATCTTCTAATACAATCAACATAATATTTAGTAGTCGTGTTAAAAATTAAAAATGTTGGTTTGCTCCGATGTTTTTGTATTTCTTTCTGCTTTCGTAAAAATATATATGGAAACAAATATGGTAGCATCAGTTTCGTTCATTTCCGCTCCGTTTTCATCTGTAGTGTTAAGTCTAGAACTTTAATTCTGATGGACTGAAGATATCACTGTTCTTCTAAACATTCAACCATAGGTTGAGTCACAGTTACCAATAAGTTTTGGCATTACAAAGATCAACTTACTAACACATTGGCTAGCCAACAGTTCACGGCTAATACACGAGCAAGCCAAGAGAATTTGGCTACCAGTTGATCAATTATCAACTTACTTTGGTCATCTCACAAGACTTGGCAATTTTTTGTAAAATTTGGAGTTGTAGAATTTGGTATGCCAAAGTATTGACTAGCTAATTTTTGGCGTGCAACCAGGCATGACCAAAATGCAACGACAAATAATCCAAAGAGGGGTTTGAACTTACAAATTCTAGCTCTGTGCGCAGAAGCCAGTTTTTCTTACATCTCATCCCCACCGCCTTTGCACATGAAAATGCTTTCATTTATTTCTGTATATCATATGGTGATTGTGAATGCAATGAGGTCTTGCGTCACAGTTTGTGTAAAAGGTTCTGACGGCATACATTTTAGAAATGAGGTACTCCTTCTATAAAGAAATATAAGATCATTCATATTTCTTTACAGAGGGAGTAGTATGTAATGCATATTTTAAATGTATGAACTATGGTATTTGATTTGATTTGAATTGTGACATATTCATCTGTTTTATATTGAATCATGTACTTATTAAAATCAATTAACTTAAACCCTATCCTGGTTTTGTGTAGTTGTTCTGCATTTTGCAGATTTTCAAAATTGATGAAAAAATCGGGTGTAGATTGAAGGAAATATCCCTAAAAGCAATAATAAAGTTATTATTTATTTCCTTATTTCATGATAAATGTTTATTATTCATGTTAGAATTGTATTAACCGGAAACATAATGCATGTGTGAATACATAGACAAACATAGTGTCACTAGTATGCCTCTACTTTACTAGCTCGTTGAATCAAAGATGGTTAAGTTTCCTAGCCATAGACATGAGTTGTCATTTGATTAACGGGATCACATCATTAGAGAATGATGTGATTGACTTGACCCATTTCGTTAGCTTAGCACTCGATCGTTTAGTATGTTGCTATTGCTTTCTTCACGATTTATACATGTTCCTATGACTATGAGATTATGCAACTCTCGTTTACCGGAGGAACACTTTGTGTGCTACCAAAGGTCACAACGTAATTGGGTGATTATAAAGGTTCTCTACAGGTGTCTCCGAAGGTACTTATTGAGTTGGCGTATTTCGAGATTAGAATTTGTCACTCCGATTGTTGGAGAGGTATCTCTGGGCCCTCTCGGTAATGCACATCACTATAAGCCTTGCAAGCAATGTAACTAATGAGTTAGTTGTTGGATAATGCATTACATAACGAGTAAAGAGACTTGCCGGTAATAACATTGAACTAGGTATTGAGATACCGACGATCGAATCTCGGGCAAGTAACATACCGATGACAAAGGGAACAACGTATGTTGTTGTGCGGTTTGATTGATAAAGATCTTTGTAGAATATGTGGGAACCAATATGAGCATCTAGGTTCCGTTATTGGTTATTGACCGGAGACGTGTCTCGGTCATGTCTACATAGTTCTCGAACCCGTAGGGTCCGCACGCTTAAAGTTCGGTGACGATTTATATTATGAGTTATGTGTTTTGATGTACCGAAGGTAGTTCGGAGTCTCGGATGAGATTGGGGACATGACGAGGAGTCTCGAAATGGTCGAGATGTAAAGATCAATATATTGGACGACTATATTCGGACATCGGAAAGGTTCCGAGCGATTCGGGTATTTATCAGAGTACCGGAGAGTTACGGGAATTCGTCGAGGAGTATATGAGCCTTATTGGGCTTTAGGGGAAAGAGGGAGGGGAGGTTGCCCCCCCCCCCAAGGCCTAGTCTGAATTGGACTAGGGGGAGGGGCTGCGCCCCCTCCTTCCTTCTCTTCTCTCTTCCCTTTCCTTGACTCCTACTCCTACTACATGGAAGGGGGGAATCCTACTCCCGGTGGGAGTAGGACTCCCCAGGGCGTGCCATAGAGAGGGCCGGCCCCTTCCCTCCTCTCCTCCTTTATATATTGAGGCAAGGGGCACCCCATGGACACACAAGTTGATCTGTTGATCTCTCCCAGCCGTGTGCGGTGGCCCCTCCACCATATTCCACCTCGGTAATATCGTAGCGGTGCTTAGGCGAAGCCCTGCGTCGGTAGCATCATCAATAACGTCATCACACCGTCGTGCTGACGGAACTCTCCCGCAAAGCTCTGCTGGATCGGAGTTCGTGGGACGTCATCGAGCTAAACGTGTGCTGAACTCGGAGGTGTCGTACGTTCGGTACTTGGATCGGTCGGATCGTGAAGACGTACGACTACATCAACCGCGTTGTGCTAACGCTTCTGCTTTCGGTCTACGAGGGTACATGGACAACACTCTCCCCTCTCGTTGCTATGCATCACCATGATCTTGCGTGTGCGTAGGAAATTTTTTGAAATTACTATGTTCCCCAACAATGGCATCCGAGCCAGGTTTATGCATAGATGTTTTATGCACGAGTAGAACACAAGTGAGTTGTGGACGATACAAGTCATACTGCTTACTAGCATGTCATACTTTGGTTCGGCGGTATTGTTGGATGAAGCGGCCCGGACCGACATTACGCGTACGCTTACGCGAGACTAGTTCTACCGACGTGCTTTGCACACAGGTGGCTGGCGGGTGTCAGTTTCTCCAACTTTAGTTGAACCGAGTGTGGCTACGCCCGGTCCCTGTGAAGGTTAAAACAGCACTAACTTGACGAAATATCGTTGTGGTTTTGATGCGTAGATAAGAACGGTTCTTGCTCAGCTCATAGCAGCCACGTAAAACTTGCAACAACAAAGTAGAGGACGTCTAACTTGTTTTTGCAGGGCATGTTGTGATGTGATATGGTCAAGACGTGATGAGATATAGGTTGTTGTATGAGATGATCATGTTTTGTTGAAGTTATCGGCAACTGGCAGAAGCCTTATGGTTGTCTCTTTATTGCATAAGATGCAAGCGCCAAATAATTGCTTTACTTTATCCCTATGCGATAGCAATAGTTGCAAGAACAATAGTTGGCGAGACGACCATGTGATGACACATTGATATAGATCAAGATGATGAAGATCATGGTGTCATGCCGGTGACGATAGAGATCATGACGATGCTATGGAGATGGAGATCAAAGGCACAAGATGATGATGGCCATATCATGTCACATATTTTGATTGCATGTGATGTTTATCTTTTATACATCTTATTTTGCTTTAATTGACGGTAGCATTATAAGATGATCTCTCACTAAATTTCAAGGTATAAGTGTTCTCCCTGAGTATGCACCGTTGCCAAAGTTCGTCGTGCCGAGACACCACGTGATGATCGGGTGTGATAAGCTCAATGTTCATCTACAACGAGTGCAAGCCAGTTTTGCACATGCAGAATACTCGAGTTAAACTTGACGAGCCTAGCATATGCAGATATGGCCTCGGAACACTGGAGACCGAAAGGTCGAGCGTGAATCATATAGTAGATATGATCAACATAGTGATGTTCACCATTGAAAACTACTCCATCTCACATGATGATCGGACATGGTTTAGTTGATTTGGATCACGTGATCACTTAGATGATTAGAGAGATGTCTATCTAAGTGGGAGTTCTTAAGTAATATGATTAATTGAACTTTATTTTATCATGAACTTGGTCCTGATACTATTTTGCAAATTATGTTGTAGATCAATAGCTCGCGTTGTTGCTTCCCTATGTTTTATATGTGTTCCTAGAGAAAACTAAGTTGAAAGATGGTAGTAGCAATGATGCGGACTGGGTTCGTGATCTAAGGTTTATCCTCATTGCTGCACAGAAGAATTATGTCCTTGATGCACCGCTAGGTGACAGACCTATTGCAGGGGCAGATGCAGATGTTATGAACGTTTGGCTAGCTCAATGTGATGACTACTTGATAGTTTAGTGCACCATGCTTAACGGCTTAGAAT